GGTCTGATTTTTTAACCAGCTGGAACTTAATGTGAGCCATAACCAGGGAAAGTGCATAATGCTAAATTAGCATAAGACATAAGTTTTAGCAGAAGAAAGAAGAGGACACGAAGAGAGTTAAAATCTGGTAGTTAGTTTCATTGTTTTGGGGGTTTGTTTTTTACATTGCCCAAGTGATCTTGTAATCTAAACCATAACATTTCTCATCTAGTTGGTAAAAGTAGTTTTCTAAATCATAATTAAAAATACTACGCAGTATTGAATAAACTCTCTTCTGTTAAAAGATATTTACCACTTACTATTTTTTGAATAAATGATTTAACTTAATTAAATGTGTGACACCATGTGCTTGTTCCTGCAGCTATTCATTGACTACTATTTTTAGATAAGGTAAACATATAATTACCAGCAAATAAATTGTTTTAAAAAGCATTGCTAAGTGTGAACAGTCATCAAAATGAGGGGCTGTCACTTGTATCTTCAGCTAAGAGCCTAGTGATTGGTAGTGATATTTTTATAAATATAAAAACCTAATAATTTGCTTTGTGTATATGATATGTCTGAAAACATAAATAAAGTTTTCTCAGAAACTGGGTTTTATTTTAGAAGATGTACTCAAATACAAAATGTGTTTCATAAGTTAAGTTTAAAGACACATTATTGCTCATTTTTATTATTAAGAAAAATTACAATACATCTGTAGTAAAAACCTGCAGTTTTTTAATAGCAACTTTTATCCTTTTAACCTTGCTTTACATTGTAACAGAATTAATTTTTAAAAGGCAAAAAAAAAAGAAAAAGAAAAAGAAAAAACCCTATTGTGAAATTAGTAACATGGTCTAATAAAAACCAAAACATTCTTACAAGCAATATTTCCAATTTAAACATAATTTTGTTGATTTTTCTACAAAATACAGAAATTCCCCCTCCTGTACTTTCTCTCTTGCTTTAAGACGTTTAAGTTTCAAGTTCTACAGACACAGATTTTGGGAAACATCGAATTATTTTCAAAGACAGCTATTTTCCTTTTCTCCTTGTAGAAAGTCTTGAAGACCTCTCCTCTCCTTCTCCAAAACTCTCATTCTCACCTGAAGTAACTGCATCCAATTTTTCTCAGGTAAAAGAGATATTCTTACAAAGTTTCAAATGTCAAAATCCCCAATGAAACACTTAGATTAAGTACTCTTCTTTATGTGTGCACGTGTCTATTATTTTGCAGATATTTTTATACTGAAATTGAATCTTTTTAGCCCTCCAGAAATACTTTGGTGAGCCCTCAATAGTTTCTAACCACTTAATAATTGTGACCCCGCCAGCCCCTTCAAATAGATTGTTAACCACAAGAGTGCTTGGCAATTCCCAAACCAAAGCCTCTGTCCAAAAGGAAAAGATAGGGCTTTGTGAGGCCGAAAGGAAGTGCGAGAAAACAAAACAAATGTAGCTCAAGCTGAAAGTGAAAAGCGCTTGGACAGATTGGTATTTTCTTTTCTGCACGGCATCCTGCCAATCTTCTTCCCCCACACCCCACTCCTTAATAAGGTCCGATTTTTGCCTGTAGAAAAGTGTTGTTATCTACCACCCCACAGCCCCCCATAATTACTGTTGTTTTGTTTGCATCGGTCCTCATCCTACTGATAGCCCCCCCCCCCGCCTCACCCTGTCAACACTGCAACTCTGGGAGACCTTAGGTGTAGAAACCCTGCAGACCCCCGACGCCGCGTCCCACCGTATCCCTTTCACGCGACTTATTTTCAGTCGCGAGATTCCCCCCCCCACTGGAGTGGTTGCAGTGAGAACCGGAAATTTTCATTTAACTCTCCCCCGTTCTCCGGGCCCCCCGTTCTGAGCCGATCGCTGGGGAGCACAGCCGGGGCCGGGCCTCGCTCTCCTACTCCGGAAGGCTTTAATTTGCACACTCGCCTCCGGGTGGGTCTCGGGCCCCCGAGGCTCGCAGGTCCCCGCCTCGCCTCGCAGCCTCCTCCACTCGGGCCCCCAGCCGCGGCCAGAGCCCGGAGGCCCCCGAGCCTCCCCGGCCGCCCCGCGGGCGGCGCCCTCCGCCGTCCCTCCGCCCTCCGCCGCTGTGCCCACCCCCTGCCCGCAGAACGCCGCTCGCCTGGGCAGCTGTAGTCAGTTACCTGCTCCGCGGGGCGAGCACGTGCGGGGGCCGACAGACACTCCAGCTTCGCAGGAGGCCTGAGCCCCTGGACCGCAGGTAAGGGGTCACGGGCTCGCGTGGGTGGGCTGAGGGGCGGGGGAGGTGGTCCCGGGCGAGGATCGGGGTGGGTGAGGGTAGCGGGGTGTAAGGGGGCTGTGTGGCCCCTCGGAATCCTCTTGGGTTAACCCCTTAGGAGTTGAGACGGGGTAGGTTATGGGGGCGAGCTGGGGGGGAGCTAGAGATCTGGAGAGGAACCTCCCACACCGGGGACACCCAGACACCAGGGTCCTATGCCAGCTTGAACAGATTCCTGCGCAAAATACCCATACGTTCACTTCTCATCAGGCTTCCCCAAAGTGACTCTGCCTGAACAGTCACTTTTAAAGTTGAACGTGCACCGTCTGGGTGGGATTCCGTGCTGGAGAATGTGTTTCCGCGCCCCCACGTTTATTTCCCCTGTGCAAGTCCCCTCTGCAGCCTCCCTAGGGGTGTGGGTATGGGCCCCATCTTCCCCACTAAGGAGTAAAACGTTCGCCCAAGCTTCCTGCTGGCGACCCCTCGGTGCTCGTTAGGCACGGAGGAGTGCACGCAGCCCACCGGGGTTGAAGCCCCGCAAGCATGCACTCTTGCTTCACGCCCCAAGTTTACTTTTCTTATTTAAAGCTTTGCAGTTCACAAGCACACCCTGGGCGAGAGCAGCCCGGGGACTCGGCGGAGCACTCGTCCCTGTGCACGTGGGCGTATCTGCGCGGGCGGGCGCATCTGCGTTTGCGCACACGCGCGGGTCGCGGTCCCGCGGGCCGCCTCCCCTCGCTGCGCTGGTGGCGACCCTTGCGGCGTTTGGCAAGGCTTCGGGAGAGGCTCATGAAGGATTTCATTGAGTGCGAAGACAGAGAGCAGAGACAGAAAGCAGAAGGAGGCGGCTTCAGCCTTTGTAGTCGCAGAGGAATGCGGAAATGTTGAAGCACTATGTCAAACTTTTTTGAAATGGGGTCAAGTCACATTCAGCCAGCGTGGGAAAGCAACAACAACAACAAAAAAGTGGAGGAGGGGAGGGGGCTAGGCACCGGCGATCCAGTCCAGGGGGTGCAGGCCCGCGGGGGTGGGACGGCTGCCGCCTCCGGGAGCCTGGGCTGGACACGGCCAGAGGGGGAGGGCGGGCGCCAAGGCCGCTGCTCCCGCTACCTGTGTGGCCCTCGACCTGGCTCGGACCCCCGGGCGAGGGCTGGGGGGTCCTTTCCTCAGCTTTTTAGGAAAGCTCTCAAAGGAGCCGGGGTAGGCTCTGCTGTGGCCGAGCGGTGCTATGCTCGCACCCAGCGGAGGTCGCGCCATGTGTTCTTTAATTCCAGGCAGAAGAGCGTGCAGGGGAGGAGGGGTGCGGGGCAGGTAAACGCGTGCCGACGGTTCGGGACACGCGGTTGTCGTGGACCAAGGTCTAGCTCAAACTAAGGCCGCCGTGGGACGGGGAGGCTCACTCGGTCATCCCTAAACAACTGAACGGGGAGGGGGCGCCCGACCGCGCGTGGGACCTGGCCTCCAGCCTTTGGGGAACCAAGCAACCGTCTCGACTACCGGCAGCCCCGAATACCGGGCAGAGGTTCGATAGTCGCGACACAAGGGCAGCCCCCTCTCACACCCCAGAGACCTACGTTTACTCCCCCCACCCCCACCGTCGTAAGGGCGGTTGCTTTTGCACGGGTTGAAAACTTAAGGACCAGCCCCAGTTAAGTCCTCAAGTTACTGTTTCAGGACAGGACAAACCAGACTGTGACGGACCTGCCTTTCCCACACCCTTGGGATCTTAGTGTGTGTGTGTGTGTGTGTGTGTGTGTACGGAGGTGGGGGGGTGGGGAGGGGGCAGTGGGGCACGACACTTCTCCCCTTCCAGGGCCCCTCGTTTCCCACCTCTAGTAGCCCCAGCCCTCCCCTACCAGATGGTCTGTCCTCCCCGAGTTTCCACCAGGGAGGTCCTCCGAGTCGGAGGCAGACTTTCGTCTCCCACTAAGCTTGCTGTATCCCAAAGACCATTTGTGTGAGCGAGTCCCTTTTAAATGTCTCTCGGTAGAAAAACTGAAAGTAGAAAGAAAGGAAGCAATTTCCGAGCAGATGTCTGACCACCCCTACTCGCATACTCCCAGCATCGGGTTACAAGGGTCCTGGGAGCCCCAACCCCGTTCTGCGGTCCCACACGGGTGAAGTCCCCGGTGCCTTCACGCCAGCTTCCGAACTCCCCCAGGACGCCCCGTACCCCGCCCGTCCAGGCCCCCGGAGTCAGAGAGGGCAGCCGAGAACAACGATCTAGGTATAAATATTGAGCCGTGACATTGACGCGCCCGGCGCCTCCCCTCCCCCGCGCTCCCGGCACACTCTGGGCTGCTCGGCACGCCCCTTCTCGTCCCGCTGCGTCCCGCGCGGCGCTCATCCCCGAGGGGCCCCAGCAACCTCTCCTCGCGAAGACTGCACGAGCCCTGCCGGGGAAGAAAAGTAACTTGGTTTTTTCTCCGAGAAACCCGGCAGGATTAGGCAGCCGGGACGAGTAGAGGGGAGGAGGAGGGGAGCTGGTGGAACCCGGTGGAAGTCTCCCGGGCAGTCTGATCACACTTTCTCCTTGTCCTCCCGTCTCCTCCTCCTAGGTGCAGAGATTGTGGGCAGACTATGTAATCGCTGCGGAGGGGGAAGAGGAGGGATCGGCGCTCTCTTGCGGCGGCGGCGCGGCGACTCGGCTAGGCGGAGTTTCGCGGCGGCTGCGCCCGGCTTGCGCCCGCCGGCGAGGAGGTCGCTCCGTCCAGCCCGGTGGCCGCGAGTCCGACTCCGGGCGTCCCCGAGGCGTGTAAGCCAACAAGGGCGCACCCAGGTTCCACTGTGCCGCGCCGGCAGCCTCCAGCCAGCATGGAGAAGGACAGCCTGAGCCGTGCCGACCAGCAGTATGAGTGCGTGGCGGAGATCGGGGAAGGCGCCTACGGGAAGGTGTTCAAGGCCCGCGACCTGAAGAACGGCGGCCGCTTCGTGGCTCTGAAGCGCGTGCGAGTGCAGACCGGCGAGGAGGGCATGCCGCTCTCCACCATCCGCGAGGTGGCGGTGCTGAGGCACCTGGAGACCTTCGAGCACCCCAACGTGGTCAGGTGAGCCGGGAGCCCTGGCTATCGGAAGGTGCTGGGCAAGGGGTGGCTGGTGACCCAACTAGAGTAAGAGTTGAGTTTCCCAAGATAAAACCGGTGACCTTGCTAGACAGAGCAGAAAAAGAGACCTGCGGTGGCTTCCCAGCAGCCAAGCTATTCTGAAGAGCTTTTGCTTTGCTTGCTCCAAGGGATCCGGGGGCGTTGGGTGTCTTTTAGGGACAAAACCAGACAACCCCAGAAACAGTCCCTGCAACACTTACTTAACTCTACCGGTCCGTGGGGGAATTTTTGAGAGACAGAGTGAGATAGTTATCCAGCTTGTGATAATTAGAAGGAAACTTTAAGGGTGGAGCATAATGTAAATAAAGTTTAAGAAAATGCAGAAATGTGTAAGAATGTGTTTGCCAATCACATCCACAGTAGTGGCTTTTTAGAAAAATATGTATAATTATAGAATGACTTCTGATGGTCTTAGAAGTTTAGAAGTTTTGACTCTGAGTCCTGGTGTTAACCCTTGTTTGAAAAATGTCTTTCAAGGCTGGTTACTGGGAACACTGAATCAGGAAGATCCAGAGTTCGAGGCCAGACTGAGCTACAAAAGACCCTTTCTGAGAAAAGAAAGGGAGGGGGGCACTTGCTTCTCAAACCGTTATCTGATTGTATCATTTAGTATCTGTGGCTGGTATGGTCTGACTTAGACTGCCTCTCTCAGGGGTTAGATGTGAGTCTGTGCTTTAGATTCTGAAGCCTAAGTTTTTCCCTGGAAGAGTTGTGCAGGTGGGTGGGAAGGCATTCTTAACCAACTCTCCTGTGATTGAAGATAATGGTGTTTTCTTGAAGATGCTGGGATTTCCCCATTGTTCCTTTTATCTTTCTCTTTTTAAAACAGATGCATAGCTGGGAGTTAAAAAGGAATGCACAGACCTTTCTACAAACTAGGTGATGGGTTTACCATTCTCAGCTCTTCTCAATAGAGGGATGATCTTGACATCTTCATCCTGTCTTCTCATTCCTCTAGGGATTCCTTTACAACAAATATGTGGCTACTGTATGTCCTGGGGATGAAATTATGTGAATAAGCACAGCTAAATATTTTTGTAGAAAGTCAAACAATGTAACATTAGTCATCAAAAAGGAGACCCAAGACTGACCTTTGAAATACCAAGCCCTCTATGGACTCAGAGTCTACAGAATCTTCTGGGTGGAGGGGTTTAGGGACTTTTAATTCCTCTACTAGGCTGGGTTTTTGTTTTTTTGAGGATTGTTTTTTTTTTTCTTTTGGTAGCACTTTGTTCCCAATATAGTCAGACTCAGAAGTGAATCATAATACATAAATAAGTAAAAAGATAATGCAGATAAAGGACCCCATCGTACCTACGTTCTAGCTAGGTGGCAGGGGTATAGAGTGTGACATCAAAAGGAAGTAATAAGACATGGGAAAATGAGTCTTCTAGAAAGTCAAGTTTTACTAAAAGTGGATTACCATCTGGCTCTGTGTGTGTGTGTGTGTGTGTGTGTGTGTGTGTGTGTGTCTTGTTAAAAAAGAAGTTCTTCAGGGAGGTCTGTGGTCCTGAAAGGTGAATGACGGATCTGAGTCACCACCCCAGAGCATCACTGAAGCTGTACCAAAGGGTGAATTTCAACATTAGAATTTAGTATCAAATTTCATTTGTCTGTTACCTGTGGAGTGTCCAGATAAAAGTTAATTACTGCATTTCAAACAAACACCCTTGTATAACCTATTCATTGAGGGCAGTTCATTACAAGTTCCTGTGACAGAAGAGTTTTGGCTAGCTAGCTCACCCTGTTCTCTTGTTATGTATCTTCCTGTGATTGGTGTGCCTCTAGAGAGTTTTAATTGACCCCCCACAGTGGGAATTTGAACTGTGAATTTCAGGAGCATCTGCTTATAAATAAGCAAAAGGAAAATATGCTTTCTGAATTTATTTTACCTTGTATGACACCTGCCTGCTTAGAGTTGTGAGGCTGAGTAAGAGTGTAGGTGAAAATCCTCTACACTGAAGGGCACTTCAGGCATTGCGCGTGTCAGAAACTGTCAGATCCTTGGCCTAGAACAGGTCCCCAGGAAGACATTTTTACAGAACAAGTCAGATTCCTGTTTAGACACAGCAAGACTGTTGTGTAACAACATTTCCTGGGGAGACACATCATGCTCATCTCAGAGAGGGAGCCCACAACAGATCAGAGCACAGATACCACAAGTCCAGTGTGGTGAGTTTCATTGGGGTTATTTATATGAATATGGAAGAGGGATTATGTAGAGGGGACTGTATCACTGAAGCCCACCCCAGGATGGGTGACAGATCACAAAGCAGGGAACCTGGAGCACAGTGCACAGCCTGCAGACAGCTCACCAGATTGGAGATTGTCCCTTCCAGGAACCTCAGTTGGTCACAACCTCCTGCAGGCAGCTAGGCTGGTTTCTGCATTTTGCAGACAGCTGGTCTGGTCTCTGAGTCTTTTGCAAATGTCACTCTGCTCTTCTGAGAGGAACACTCATCTGGTATTTGCTTATATAGCAAGGAGGGGCCTAGTGAATCTGGTCAGTTTCAAGGCTTTCCTGAAGCTATTCTGAATTGTTTACCTTCCTGCTTAAGGAGCTTCCTGTCGGTTGGAATGTTTTAATCTCAGAGGAAACTGTTACACAACAGTAGAAGCTACTTGGGCACCCATAACCTGAATTTGTCAGCAAAGGCAATTGATTGGCTATATGCCATGAGATTGTGTTTTAACTAATAACAGCATCCTCATAAACCACCGTCTTTATTTCTTCCTGATTTTCTTCTCCATTATCCACCCCCATTCCCACCCCTGCCTCTGCCCCCAATGACCTATTTGACTAAACTAGAAATTCTGACTTTAGACGTTGGTTAATATTTTTAGAGACAGTCTTGGGAAATCTAGAACAAGTGACAGTTCTTTTCCTTCCAAGGGAGAATGTCACAACTGAGCCCCTGAATCTGTAATTTGTTGTCTTTCCTGGGGTAAGTTTTATATTCATAAGCCTAGGTTTTTAAAAGATTGCTTAAAAAGGCAGATGCTTTTTTAAGTGCCTTCAAGCCATAAGTAATTGATCATAATTGCAGACTCTACCCACACGTAGTTAGGCCTCTAAGCTTGAAGAGGCACAATAAACATATTCGTTTTTTTTCAAAGTTTTAAAACTTAATTTTGATGGATTTACCGGAAAGGCAGACTTGTTTTTGTTGGTGTGAAAGCCCCACCAGATTGCACGGTACCACTGACTATGAGTTTCTGCTTACCTGCACTTGATACGTGCCGGGCTTGATGAGCCACCCTGTCCTCCGCATAGATTGCCTCTTGTTTTACAGTTCAGTTTGTAATCTTGAGTTCTGGAGCCTTTGTCAGAGTAAGACTGTACGACTGGCGTGTTTCTATTCCACAGGTGAGTTCTGTTTGCCTTCCTGAACCAAGACCCAGAGTTGGAATAAAATTTGTTTTAACTGTCTGTGCACCAAGTATATATTGAGGACCTACTATGTGCTGGACAGCTTCTAGAAAAAAGAAGCTGAGTGGGGAAGTGAATGAGTCAGGGAATTGCTAGGCTTATGAACTTTCTTTTGTTTGTTTTGGTTTTGATTTTTTTTTAATCTGAGATAAGGTTACTCTGGGTAGCCCTGGCTGTCCTGGAACTCTTGTCTGTAGACAAGACTGGTGCAGAGATCTGCCTGCCTCAGCTTCCAAGTGCTGAGATTAAAGGTGTGCACCACTACACCTGGCTAGCTTGCTGGCTTTCTTCCTTTCCTTTCTTTGTAAGAAATTTGCCTCTTTTAAAATATATTTGTCGAAGCAAGGCAAGCTTGTAATACCAGAATTCTGGAGGAAGTATAGGCAGAAAGTCATGGCCATTCCAGCTGCTTGGCAAGTTTGAATCCGGCATGAGCTTCAGGAGATTGTCTCCTCTTTCTTTCAGTTATTGTTTCTCTCACTTAACCTTCCCAGTTTTATAAAGCTGCATATGCTTGTGACAATTTAGTTACAGGAATTTGCTGATTGGGTAGATGAGATACACAAAATACTAATCAGAGCTACTCAACATATGCAGGTTAAATTTTCCCTCGGGGACATATAAGTTGACCTCGATAAAAAGGCCTTGGCGTGTCCCTAACATGTGTCAACACTTTGAGCTCCATCTATTTCAGTGAGTGTTGAGGAAAGACATCTTCTCTAAAAATTAGTTGTAGGAAAAACACCTGGGTAATCAGTTGGCTACTCAGACAATTCTGTCAGTGAAGGAATATTAGGATCAAAGAAAACTGATATGTGATCCTATTCTATGCTGTGAGACATGTAAGTGCTACTACCTATGTCACCACGAACTGTTTGTTAGAGTAGCAACAAAAATGGTTCAAATTCAGTGATTAGCTCTGGAAGCCACAGTGATTGCCTGTCAGAAGACAAGGTTGTAATTAATAAATGTTTTGAGCACATAAAGTCACTGTCTTAAAGGTGAAGGAAAATGAGGTTTGTAGCATTGTGATTAAGGTAATGTTTCTCGTTTTCTCTTTTTAAAGTTCTCAGCAA